TTCTAGGAGAGAGAGAGAGACAGCGTGAGCAGGGGAGGGTCAGAGAGAGAGGGAGTCACAGACTGAAACAGGCTCCAGGCTCTGAGCTGGCAGTCAGCACAGAGCCCGACGCGGGGCTCGAACCACGAACCGCGAGATCATGACCTGAGCGAAAGTCGGACGCTTAACCGACTAAGCCACCCAGGCGCCCCAAGACTTTGTGATTTAAGAGAAGAGCCTCCTTAATGAAATGTCACAGGGGCGAACCACAAGCGGATAAGGCTGTTGTATTGCAGCTCGGAATTTTCTTCCACGAAAGGATATAATGGGTGACGCGAATCATCACACGGCAGAATGGGAGAATATGTTTGCAATGCCTAATACTGTCCCCACCTCACAGGGCTGTTAGGAGAGTTCAATGGCTCCATAAATTTAAAGTTCTTAGAACAGTGCCTGGCACGTAGGAAGCTTTATCTAAACATTATCTATCCTTACAGAGCTGTCAAGTACTCAATAATTCAGTGTTGCCTAGGAGGGCTACACAAGCACATATGTCATTTTAATGTTTATGTATGTATTTTGAGAGAGAGAGAGAGAGAGAGGGAGAGAATGCACGCAAGCGGGAGAGTGGCTGAGGGAGAGAAAGCGTCTTAAGCAGGCTCCTCACTGTCATCACAGAGCTGGACTTGGGGTTCAGGCCATGAGATCATGATCTGGGCCGAAATCCAGAGTTGGAGGCTTAACCGACTGACCCACCCAGGCACCTGTGTAATTTTAAATTGTCTAGTAGCCACATTAAAATAGTAAAAACGGGGTGCCTGGGTGGCTCAGTCAGTTAAGTGTCCAACTTCTGCTCAGGTCATGATCTCACAGTTCACAAGTCAGAGTCCCACGTCGGGCTCTGTGCTGACAGCTTAGAGCTTGGAGCCTGATTCTGTGTCTCCCTCTCTCTGTCCCTCCCCCACTTATGCTCTCTCTCTCTTTCTCTCTCTCTTAAAAGCAAATAAACATTAAACAATTTTGTTAAAATAGTAAAAAGAAACAGGTGAAAGTAATTTGAATAGTACATTTTATGTAGCCCAATACATCCACATTATTATATTAGCACATGTAGTCAGAATAAAAATGAATTAATGAGATTAATCACATCTTCTTTTCTTTGTACTAAGTTTTAGAAATCTGGTGTGTATTTTATACTTACGGCACATCTCAATTTGTATTTGCCATGTTTCAAGTGCTCATAACTACACGTGGAGAGCGGAGAGTTCATGTAGGACCGATCAGATTGGACAGTGCAGAGCTTGACTCTATGAGGAGCACATGCAAATCAACAAGTAAAAGACAGCAACCCAAATGCAAACAGGGCAAGGAATATGAACAGGCAACTTACAAAAGAAGAGAAACTGAAGGCGATCAAGCAAATGAGGAGATGCTCAAAGTGATTCAAAATCAGAGAAATGTGAAAGACGGCAATGGTGGCATCACTTGACATTGAGACAGAGTGGCAAAAATCAGGAGCTGGATAAGGCTAACAGCTGGCGGAAGCGTGGGCTCGTGGGACCTTCTGCACTGCCAGGGGATGTGACTGGGGGCAGCTCGTCCAGGAGGCCACATAGCAATGGATTGTGCCCTGTGATATAGCATATCTGCAACCTGGTCTCTCTCCTAGGGAGATTCTCAGCAGGTCTCTGAGGGCACATGTCCAAGGCTGCAGTGCTGGGAGCTGGAGGCTGCCCGATGTCCATCCCTGGAGGACAGAGTCATAAGACGTGAGGGACGCATCTGTGGAGCATCAAGGAGAAATCAGAAGAAAACAGATTCAAGAGACTGGTGATACAGGGGCACCTGGGTGGCTCAGTCAGTTAAGCGGCCGACTTCGGCTCAGGTCATGATCTCGCGGTTCGTGGGTTCAAGCCCCGTGTAGGGCTCTGTGCTGACAGCCAGCTCAGAGCCGGGAGCCTGTATCCGATTCTGTGTCTCCCTTTCTCTCTGACCCTGCCCTGCTCATGCTGTCTCTCTCTCACTCTCAGAAATAAGTAAAACATTTAAAAAGAAATTTTTTTAAAGAGATTGGCAATACAGATGGATACTTAAGTCTCACTGCCAGACAAGCAAGCAAGAAATACAGTGCTACCTGGAAAAGGAAAGTAAGAAGCCAAATAGAACACTCACATAAACCACGGCACATTTTCAAGGAAACACACAAACAGAAAGGTGCACGTTGAGCTCACAGCAGTATTGCACCAGAGATAGGAGGGAATTGGGGGCGGGGGGGTATTTTCCCCTAATGTTAATTTGGAAATTTTCAAAAGTATAGAAAACTCACAAGAAGGGGCACCTGGGTGGCTCAGTCAGTTAAGCATCTGATGTTTGGTTTCAGCTCAGAGCATGATCTCAAGGTTCGTGAGTTCAAGCCCCCAGTCAGGTTGTGTGCTAACAGTGCGTAGCCTGCTTGGGACTCTCTCTCTCTCTCTCTCTCTCTCTCTCCCTTTCTGCCCCCACCCCTGCTCCCGCTCGCTCTTTCACTCTCTCTCAAAATAAATAAATAAACTTAAAAAAAAAAAGGAGGGGCGCCTGGGTGGCTCAGTTGGTTGAGGGTCCACCTTCGGCTAAGGTCATGATCTCGTGGCTCATGAGTTCAAGCTCCAACTCTGGCTCTGTGCTGACAGCTCAGAACCTGGAGCCTGCTTCAGATCCTGTGTCTCCCTGTCTCTCTGCCCCTCCCCCACTCACTCTCTGACTCTCTCTCTCTCAAAAATAAACAAACCTTAAAAAAAAAAAAAGAAAACTCACAAGAACAGTAAAATGAGCACCCATATACTTACTACTCTTCTGGTTTCAGCGACAATTGTTAGTATTTTGTCACCTTTGCTCACGTGCTCTCTCTCCTCCCCTCCTTCTCTCCCTCCTCTCTATTTAAAAAAATTTTTTTTTAATGTTTTATTTATTTCTGAGAGAGAGAGAGACAGCGTGAGCAGGGGAGAATCAGAGAGGGAGACACAGAATCTGAAACAGGCTCCAGGCTCTGAGCTGTCAGCACAGAGCCCGACATGGGGCTCGAGCCCACGAACCGTGAGAGCATGACCTGAGCCGAAGTCGGACGCTTAACCGACTGAGCCACCCAAGCGCCCCCCCTTCCTCTCTATTAATACTAACATATAGCATATTATGATGTTGTATATAAAATATATAGACATATGGTTTTTTTCTGAGCTATTTTGACAGTTGCAACCGTCACAAATTTACCACTAAATAATTCAGCGTGTTCCTCCCACAAAGAACATTCTCTTATCTAACCACAGCGCAATGCTCACATTCAGGAAATTCAACATGGATATATTATCTCATATCCACTGCACATTCAAATATCTTTGATTATCCCAGGAATATCTTTCGTCAAGGATCCAATCAAGGATTATACATTGACTTTGGCTGTTGCCTCTCTTTGTTTCCTTCAATATAGAACCATTCCGAGCATTTCATTCATTCATTCATTCATTCATTCATTCATTCATTCTATTAATGGATTGATTTTCCCTTGCATGACATACATCTGTTTGAAGAATCCAGGAACTTTTGGTTTGGGGTTTTTTTTTTTGCTTGTTTATTTGTTTGTAGGCCAAATGCCCCTTAATCGGGAAGTACCTGGTTGTGTCATCACGATTAGATTCAGGTTAAACACTATGGGCAGGACCAAGCACTTTGCAGGTGATGCTGTGTCCTTCTCAGTACATCACAGCAAGAGGCGCATGAGGGCAGCCTGTCCCATCCCCGGTGAAGTTAATTTTGATCATTTGGTTAAAGTGGTGACTGCCAAGCTTCTCCATGGTGCTTTTCCTGAGGTATCTTTTTCCCACTGTAATTAACAAGTAATTTGTGGGCTGGTCCTTTGAGACTGTGTGAATATCTACTTCCCTCACCGAGGAGCCTCGCCTGAATTAATTATTCCTCTGCTGGCTGCAAAATGGGGATTGTCTCACTCAATCTTTCCTTCTGCATGTATCAGCCGGCACTCCAGATGTCCCCCCCCCCCCGCCCAAAGGGGCGGAGTTAGCACTCAAGTCTAAGCTCCTCAGCAACTGGGCCTCCTGGCCTCTTGAGCTATTAAATTGGGTAAAGAGGTGGCCAGTTCTGTGCCCTTGGACAACCCCCACACCCCTCCCGGGGCCACTTCCTCATCAGTCAACAGGTGGATTCAGGTGGGTTCCGCTCAGGACCCTGCTGTCCCCGCGGCCCCACACACTGTCCTCTTCTGGTGCGTAGGGGGCAGCTCAGATGCCAGTCACAAGCAGGGCAGTGGGTACAGTCTCACAGGGGACACTGGCCCAGCTACAGCAACTGATCACTCAGTGGGGATGGCAGAGGTCAGCAGAACAGGAAGAGAAGAACAATGGCTGTGCCTGTTGCCACGGCAGTGGCAGTGTTTGCCAGCTGGGTGGGGCCAGCCACGCAGCCCTCAGCCGCTAAGCCCAGGCCCCACTCTCCTCTTTCCCTCCGCCCCTCAGTAGGCCCTGGCGGGGCCGGGATGTGCAACAGCTCACCCTGGGGACTGCAGAGACCCAGCTGCTTAATGAAGCTTGAGCAGAGTCACCGCCGTTAGAGGCCTCGCAGAACTACAATTCCCAGAACACACAGCAAGCGCCTGGTCCAGCCCCAGCTGCCCCAGCGGCCGGCTCTGAGGTAGAACAAGGAAATCTCACCTGTTCTGGGAATTCTGCGTCCTGGTCTGCAAGAGGTGCGTTTGTGTCTGTGTGTCTTGGACCTCCTCCTGCCTGAGAAATCTCAGTTACAAGCCAAACCTGGCGATGGTGAGCTTCACACACACGTGTGCTGACACCCTGCTTTGCTCTGCGCCAATCTCAGGACCCGGGCATGGGTGGGGAGCGCTGAGATGGAGGAGACAGGCTCCTGAAAGAGCGGAGGCTTGGATTGTTGGGGCACCCTTTATAATCTAGCACACAGTAGGTGCTCAGTAAATATTCGCTGGCCTAACCAACGAGCGGACAGTCCATCTCTCCCTTGTCTTCCCTTCCACTGCACCGTCTCACCCGGTTTTGCTAGCTCGTAGGATACTGCACCATCCTAAAATGCGCTGTCTCTCTCCGTCCGGCCTCCGGGCCTTTGGCACCGCTGTTACCTCTACCAGAAGCACATTCAGCTTACTTGGTGGTGCATCTGTAGAGGCAGGACGGAGCCTGGCACGCAGCGGGAACACATGAAATATTTGACGAGTGAATGAATGAATGAATGAATGCCCTTGTCCATTGTACATCCCAGGAAGCAGGGACACTCGGGACCCTCCCTATTCATCTCGATCCTCCGCCCGCTCGCCGGCCTGGAATGAATGCATCCCTTTTATCCGCTCCGAGGACGGCCGGGCTAGGGCAGGGGCAGGCCCGGGAGGAGGAGGGGAGCGGGGGCTGCCCTGGGCCCCCTCCCAGGTCTCCTAAAGGGTCAGCTTTTCCGGACGTGGGGAGTTTACCTCTCCACGAAACTCAGCCTCGGTCACCGGACGACCAGCACGGCCCCCTACTCCCGCCCCTTACCACCCAGGACACCCCAGACCGAGTCTCAGCCTACAGCACGTGGTCCAGGGGCCGCAGCTTCCCATTGGTTGCTCGTCTCCTTCCTTCCCCGCGATTGGCAGGGGCCCCGCCTCAGGTCCCCCCTCCGCGCCCCGCGGTGGTACAGCCTGCCGTGGCTTAGGCGGGGTGGGAAGGTCCACTGCGGCGCGGCGCCGGGGGGGAGGCCGGGAAGAGCCGGGAGAGGCGGAGGGATCCCTCTGGAATGTTTCCGTCGGGCCCACCCGGACGGGGCGGCATGGCGCGGATTGGCCACGAGCGTCGGACGGCCGCCCCTGATTGGCGGGCGCCGGCCCCGCCCCCCTCCCCGGCCGCGGCTGCGGGAGAGGCCCGGGCCGGAGTTCGCGGAGGGCCGAGCCGGGCGCGCGCGGGGTGGCGGCGGCGGCGGCGGCGCAGGTGAGTGCCCCCCGCGGGCGGGGCGCGGCGCGGCCGTTCCGGGGACCCCGGCGCGGGCCCGCGGGCTCCCAGACCCGCGGGGATCCGGCGGATCGAGCGGGGTGGGGCCGACCCCATGGACGCGGCTGGAAGTCTAGGTTGGGCGCCAGGATGCCCGAGGCCCCTTCCCAGACGGGCGCCTGTCTTTCCGCTGGGGGTAGGGTCAGTCGCTTCCCGGCGCTCCAGCGGGGTCGACAGCCCAGCGTGCCCCCTGCACTCCGGACAGTCCCCGTCCCGGCGGGGACGGGCGCGGGGTCGGTATTTCTGAGCCCTGCCTGGGCATCTCTCTGGAGGTGGCCTCGTCCCCATCCTCCAGGGCCTAGAGGAACCTGGGGATGACCGAGGTCCCGACAATAATAATGAAAAAGTCATCCCGTCTAGCACTTATTGAACGCTTCCGTGCCGGGTATTTACCATGCATAGCCGTGAGTCTAACACCTCTTGGAAGGTGCTCTTCCTTCTTCTAGAGGTGAAGCAGTAGACCCAGAGAGGGAGAGTGACTTGCCCAAGGTGACACAGCTAGCTAGTAAGTGGCAGGTCTGGAACTCGAACCCGTGCTTCAGAGTCCAGATCTGGAGTCTCAGCTACTAGACCACACGGCTTTGTGGCTCCGGGGCCCAGTGGCTCCACAGCTCAGGTGTTCCTGACCGGCCTGTCTGCTTGCTGGTGTCCCCAGCCCCCAACCATACACACATGTGGCCACACCTGCTGGTCTTTGCTTTCCCCCTTAGAAGTCACAAGACATCAGCCCCACTCTTCCTCCCCTGAGATGGAAAGGCAAGGCCTGAATACCAAGGTCCAGAGAGGAGACTGACATCTGCAGGGGAGACAGGGGGCCCGATGCTGGGGTCCTTTGCCCCCCGGGCCCCTCTGGGAAGCCTGGGCTGAGGCTCTGGGCAGTAGGCGTTCTCCCCGGAAACACCCAGGAGCCGGTTTTTCAAGACTGAATCAGAGGCCTCCCGCCCTCCTCCTCTCCGAAGCAATATCCTACTGGAAAGGGGAGGCTGGGTGGGGTGTCTCCCCCCCCTCCCAGCTTATGTCAGCTCCCAGGAACCCCCTTCCCTCCTTCCTGCTGCCCCCACTGCAATTCGGCGTGGCTGCGGGGTTGCTAAGTTTCAGGCCCTTCCCAGGGAAGAGAGGGCGGGAATGCTGGGATTCCAGCCAATGCGCTTGGCGCCCAGGCCGACGCTCTTTCCCTCCATCCCTGTGTTCAGGTTGGAGGGGAGGCTGGGACTGTGGGGAGGGGGTGGCCCTCAGCAACTCCGCCGCAGGCCCGTTCTGAGGATAGGAGGGCTCAGAGTGGTGGGAGTGAGCACGTAAGGCACATTCACGCATCCTACACACACTCACTGAGCACCTACCATTGTGCCCGGCACTGTTCTTGGTTCAGAGAACACAGTAGTGGACAAGACATCACTCCCTGCTCCGTGGGCGCCGTGGACACAAACGAGTTAACAAATAAGGAAGATCCCCGCAGACGGTACAAGTGCTCTGTGCTGTGAATAAAAGTGCCACGAATAAAATGCGAGGGGGGTGGCGCGGTAGAATCTTTTGGGCGAGGGGGGGCTTTTGGAGGAGGTGACTTTGGAGACAGGGTCTAAATGACATAGACATGGCAGCCGTGGGAAGATGGGGCAGGGGGCCACAGCCGGGGCAAAGGCCCTGAGGCTTGGCGGAGCTCGGAAGGGTGTGGCTGGGGCCAGGGATGCAGCCCCCAGTGGCCCTTGTGCAGGGTCCGTGACTCATTCAGGAGTCTGGAGCTTTCCCCCTGTAAGGTGGGAAACTGTTGTAAAATTTGAAGCCGGGGAGTGACGCGATTTGGTTTACATTTTAAAATAGAGACACGAAGTTAAATAGCAGCCTAAGACTGGAAGACAAGAGTTCTGCCAGGGCGGCATGTAATTAAGTTCATGGGCCTGAGCTGTCTGGACCACAGGGGCGGTTCCTACAGGCTGGGGCAAGCCAGGGGCGCTGCCTGGAGGAGGTGGCTTAGACTAGGGCTCGGCTGGCAGAGAGGACTGGAATGTTCCAGGGCAGGGCCAGGGGAGGAGGCAATGATAATAATGACAATCACAGTAACAGTCTCCTTAGATTGAATGTCAGGCAAATGCTTGCTAATGCTAATCAGGTTGTGTGCATGATCTCTTTGGATTCCCGAAAGCACCTTGACAGACAGGAATTCTGCCCGTTTTTCGGATGAGAAATCTGAGGCCCCATCACATGAAGTGACTTGCCCACGGCCACACAGCTGGTAAGTGGCAGGGGTGGGCTTTGAACCCAGGCCATCCTGCCTCTTTTAGCCTGGAAGGCAAATTCATTAAGCCACACACTTTCTTCACCACCCATCATCCCCTCCTCATCCCCTCCTCACAGGCGAGGCCGTGGAAACTAGCCTGAACCGGGGCAGCAAACCTAGGCAGAGGGAGGAGGTTGGGAATTGGTGATCGGGGTGGGGGGGACCCTGGGACAACGAGGAAGTGTGAATCTTATCAACTGACTGTAAGACGGTGCAGATGGAAATAGTAGTAAAAATCACCCCGAGTGGAACCCTTATTGTGTGCCAGGCACACGCATGATTTCCTTGGAGCTCAGAGAAGTTAAGACACTTGCCCAAGGCCACACAACTAGTGAGTGGAAAGCCAGGTGCCAGACTCCTGTTTTCGGCATCCTGCTAAAGATGTATGAGGAGAAGCAGAAGGAGAACCAGGGGAGGTGATGGTGAGAATTGTTGGTGGTTTTTTTTAAGCATCGCTGAGTGTGATGAAATTCCCTAATACCCTGAGGCAGCAGTATTGATTCAGTCAATTTATTTTTTGTTAAATATTCTGTGAATGCCTTCTGCGATGTGTGCTACGGATAGAGAGATGAATAACCGATAAAAGACTTGTCCCTTGGGGCACCTGGGTGACTCCGTTAAGCATCCGACTTCCGCTCAGGTCATGATCTCACGGCTTGTAAGTTCGAGCCCCGCGTCGGGCTCTGTGCTGACAGCTCAGAGCCCGGAGCCTGTTTCAGATTCTGGGTCTCCCTCTCTCTCTGCCCCTCCCCTGCTCGTGCTCTGTCTCTCAAAAAGAAACAAAAACGTTTAAAAAAAAAACAAAAAAGGCTAGTCACTTGAATGTCTAAAGAGTTCCCACAAATCAAGAAGAAAAAAGATAGGCATCACAATAAAAAACAAACTGAATGCAATTTTTAAAAAAATGTTTATTTTTGAGAGAGAGAGAGAGAGAGTACAAGTGCGGGAGTGTCAGAGAGAGAGAGAGACACAGAATCTGAAACAGGCTCCAGGCTCCCAGCTGTCAGCACAGAGCCCGACGCGGGGCTTAAACTCAGGAACCATGAGATCATAACTCGAGCTGAAGTCGACACTTAACCGACTGAGCCACCCAGGCGCCCCCTGAATGCAGTTTTTAAAAATGGGCAAAGTCGGGGCGCCTGGGTGGCTTAGTCGGTTAAGCATCCGACTTTCGCTTAGGTCATGATCTAGCGGGTCGTGGGTTCGAGCCCCGCGTCGGGCTCTGTGCTGACTGCCAGCTCAGAGCCTGGAGCCTGTTCAGTCTGTGACTCCCTCTCTCTGACCCTCCCCTGCTTACGCTGTCTCTCTCTCTCTCTCCTAGAAATAAATAAAACATTAAAAAAAAAATTAAAAAAAAATAAAAACGGGCAAAGACTTAAACAGGCACTTTGGAAAAGGACAAATCCAGCCAGTTAATGAGAGTATTAGTATTAACAGTGGTCCAGCATCACTGATGCTGAAGGAAGTAAAAAGGAAACCACGAAGAAAGGGGAGGGAGGCACTGTGTCTAGACGGAGCACCTACCCTGTACTGTACTGAGCTGGGAAGCAGGGGCTGAGGATCACGGAGGCGGGGCTTGCATTTTTGCTGGGGAGACAGTACCCCCTTGAGGACAGGGACTATGGCCCTGGGCCCCTTTGTCTCCCCAGATCCCGGCCGGGGGCCTGGTAGGCTGACGAATATTAGGATCATTCCTTCATCCGTCCCTTCATTCAACAAATACGTACTGAGCACCCGCCACACCGCAGGCACTGTTCTCTGTGCTAGGGACGCAGGGAGGAACAAGGCAGACAGGAGTCCTTGCCCTTTCCGGAAACAGTGGGTGACCTATATATCCCACCTGAAAGAGGTGTGACAGTGGCTGTGTGGGCACAGGGCACAGTCAAGTGCAAAAGCATGGAGGCTCAGTTGTACCTGGTGTGTTAGAGGGGCAGGGGCCAGGCCTTGGGAGGAGCGAGGAAGGGGAGGGCAGGGAGGTGACGGGGGCAGGTCTTTTGGGGCGTGTGGGTGGTGGTGGGGACATTGACTTTTACTCTGAATGAGGTGGGAACCCCGGGAGGGGTCGAAGCAGTGGACAGATGTGAGACATGACTTGTGTTTTACAGGATCATTCTGGCTGCTGTGTGGACGGGAGACCGTGGAGGGCGAGGGCAGGAGCCGGGAGACTCGGAGGAGGCAGCCGCGCTAGTGTAGGTGAGAGATGATGGGGCTGGACCAGGGGTCGCTCGAGGAGGTGGCATCGGAAAGCAGAGGAATGAACATGGGTGTGGCGCGCTGGGCTTGGTGGAATCTGGGACGGCCCCCTGGAGGGGGAGGAAGAGATTTGAAGGGAGGGAGCCGGAAGTCGCCGGAGTCCTCACCCCTGCTGCTGTCCCCCTCGGCACTCTGTTCCAACCGTACAGACCCCCTTGCTGTGCCTCAAAAACATGCCAAGCATGTCCCCTATCTCAGGGCCTTTGCACTGGCCGTTCCCTCTGCCTGGAGCTGTATTGGTTCACATCATTATTTGGAGACTTCTTCCTGTCATTCGGGTCTCAAGTTGAGCTTTCACCTGCTCAGAGAGGCCCTCCTTGACTCTGTAGAATTGGCCTTGTTTTATTGTCTTCATGGCCCTTTTAGAAGTTATGTTACACAAATGTTACACATTTGCCTGCTCACTGTGCATCTTCTGCTCTGGACCGGGTGCTTCGGGACAGCTGGAACAGACCCCCAGCTAGCGTCCATGGCACCTAGGAGAGAATTAGAAAGAGGCAGCCCTTCCTCCCAGCAGACACATCAGCTTGGCATGTGGCTCAACCAGCTTGAGCACAGGCGGAGTTTCAGTCCCTGTTGCCACGTTGGTCTGGTGCTTTTGCACAGTGAACAACCTGTGTAACTGCACACAGTGGCCCCAGTCAGGGTCCTTGCTCGTCTTACTGAAGGCAGGATCTAAAATGGTGCGTGGAATCTGGTAAATATGCGAAAAATATTTGTTCGAATGGAGGGAGAGAGAAAGAAACAGAGAGAATAGGGGTAGGGGAAAGAAAAAAAGTGTATCAGGACACGTTTTGCTACAGTAGCAAACAGCCCCCAACATCTCAGTGGCTGAATTGGACAAAGGTTGTTGTTTTTTGGGGGTTTTTTGTTTGTTGGTTTGGTTTGGCTTTTTTTTTTTTTTTTTTGGTCCTGCTACATCTCAGCAGGGGATTCCATTCATTGTAGCCACTCGGGCCCAGGCTGATGGAGTCCAGCAGCCCTGACTGGGGGATACAGACCCCAGGAGGCTCTTGCCCTAGTATTGAAACGCTTCGTCCCAGAAACGTCCTCTGTCACCTCCCGTCACAACTCATTGGCCAGAACCAGTCGTATGCCTGCCCAGTCACAGGGAGGTCAGTTAAATGTCATCTTGTCTGTGCGCTTTGAAGGGAGAGTCAGAAATTTTTTTGCGCACAGCACTAGTGACTGCAGCCGAAGGAAACACAAAGAGGCACTTGGGGCACCTGGGTGGCTCAATCGGTTAAGCGTCTGACTCTTGATTTCAGCTCGGGTCTTGCTCTCAGGGTCATGGGTTCAAGCCCCGCGTTGGGCGTGGACCCTGCTTAAAAAGGAATAATAAATACATGAAAAGAAAAATAAAGAGAAATGTAACCGCTATCAGCGTCCATTTCCTCATCTGTTAAATGGGCACGTTCGTAGCAAAATATTGTCCCCCCGTCACGATGTAGTGTGAGGATTAAGGAAGGTCACGGAGCACTTTGCACAGGGTCGTAGTAGATATCAGCTGCTGCTGGTACTTCTGTACAAGAACATAAACGCGGGCGCTGGGATTTGAACCGAGGCCAGTCTGTTCACTGGGTCAGCAGTGGGCTAATCGCGTGGGAGAGGCAGCCCGAGGCCACCGCCCAGGCCCTGAGCCCACTTTCCCGCCCTGCAGGTCTCCTGAGTGCACCCCCTGCCTCTCACTGCTCATGCCGCTGGGACTGGGGCGGCGGAAAAAGGCGCCGCCTCTGGTGGAAAATGAGGAGGCCGAGCCAGGCCGTGGGGGGCTGGGCGTGGGGGAGCCGGGGCCCCTGGGTGGGGGTGGGGCAGGGGGGCCCCAGATGGGCTTGCCCCCCCCTCCCCCGGCCCTGCGGCCCCGCCTCGTGTTCCACACCCAGCTGGCCCACGGCAGTCCCACTGGCCGCATCGAGGGCTTCACCAACGTCAAGGAGCTGTATGGCAAGATCGCCGAGGCCTTCCGGCTGCCCGCTGCCGAGGTACCCACGGAGGGGGGCTGGGCACCAGGGTCCCTGCCGGTGGGCTGAGGCCTGGGTGTGCATCCTGTCCATGAGCTGCTGAAGGTGCATACGCTGACACTTGCTCCCTAGTGGAGGAGCTGGTGGCCACACTGGGTGCTGGGTTCCCATCAGTCATTAGGGTGCCTGCCCTTCAGCAAACTCTGGGGCAGCTGGAGAGTAGGGCTGGGTGCTGAGTTCCCATGAGGCCTCAGGAGGCCTGTGCCCCAACGGACTGCGGACATGGAGGGCCAGGGCTGGCCGCTGCATTCCCATGATGCATCGGGAGCCTTGTGCCCCAGCTGGTTATGGGCTCTGGCGGTCTGCATTCCCATGATGCATCGGGAGCCTTGTGCCCCAGCTGGTTATGGGCTCTGGCGGTCAGATGTGAGGTTCATTTCTCTGTGACGCACTGGGAGGCCTTACCCCCAAGGACTTTGGGGCTGAAGGAAGGGAGGCATGAAGCGCCGCAGTGGGAAGGAGCAGGGAGCAGATGCAGGGGTCTCAGTAGGTGTGGTCGGTGTTCTGTGCCCCTTCCTTCATTCCACAAGCCTTCCCTGAGCACCCACCGTGCACAGAATGTTTGCGAGGACAGAAATCCTAGCGGAGGCCACACCAGGGTGGTCAGGCACTGGGGTGGGGACCCCTGGCCCTTTCCCAGCTCCCCCTTTCCCCTAGCATCGCATCATGGTTAGCAAAGGGCAAGGGATGGAGGCGAGAGTTGAATGTCTCCCGCCCACACAGGTGATGTTCTGTACCCTCAACACCCACAAAGTGGACATGGACAAACTCTTGGGGGGCCAGATCGGGCTGGAGGACTTCATCTTCGCCCACATTAAGGGGCAGCGCAAGGAGGTAGAGGTGTTCAAGTCGGAGGAGGCACTGGGGCTCACCATTACCGACAACGGGGCCGGCTATGCCTTCATCAAGGTGCCTGGGATGGGCGGGGACACCCGGGGCCTAAGGGCAAAGATTGGCCGTGGGACCCAAGGGCGGACTGACCACTCCTTTCCTCACAGCGCATTAAGGAGGGAAGCGTGATCGACCACATCCAGCTCATCAGCGTGGGGGACATGATTGAGGCCATCAACGGCCAGAGCCTGCTGGGCTGCCGGCACTACGAGGTGGCCCGTCTGCTCAAGGAGTTACCCCGAGGCCGCACCTTCACGCTGAAGCTCACAGAGCCCCGCAAAGCTTTTGGTGAGGAGGCTCCCACCCCAGACCACCGGCATCGCCCTATTTGCTTGGGTTTGGGCTACGGTGGCAGGAAGCCACCAGCAGGTGGCGCCCAAGCCCAGCCAGCTACAGTGGAATGGGGGGTAGCCCCGCCCTGCCCTGGGGAGGGGGTGCTGGCTCTCCGCCCAGCCCCAGAGGGCCAGAGCAAGGAGGAAGTTGCCCCCACACCCAGCTTCCCTGAACCATTAGCCCAGCCAAGCGCCCCCAACCCTGGCGAGCCCCCCCAGCCTGGAGAAGCCAGGGTTGGCTGCCCTGTGCCAGCACCCCCTCTTTTCCGTCTGGCTTCATTAACTCTCTGGAATGGGCCTGCGGCCCCCGGGGTGGGGGTGAGGGACTCTCAAATACTTCCCCAGGCAGACATGGCTGGTCCTTGGCCCAGCAGCTATAGCTCCTTGGCCTCGGGGAGAGCAGCTCAAGACCCAGGCCCCACCCCCTTCCTGTCCCTCAGGCCCTGGGAACAGGGCCCCCTTCCGTCTCCCCTGGCCTTTTCCATTCTCAGCCCCTGGCTGCCCTTCCCCAATCCCTGCCAAGCCCAAGCCAGGAGTCCTGCCCTCCTGGGGTCTCCCCAGAGCCTGCAGAAGCTTGGAGAAGGTAGAAGGGGGTATCTGAGGCCAGGATGCCTGGGGTCCTGCCTGAGGCATGCTGGAATTGGGCTTTCCCGACCCTCACTCACCCCTTCCTGCCTCCCACAGACATGATCAGTGTACGCTCAGGCGGGGGGCACCCTGGCTCTGGCCCCCAGCTGGGCACTGGCCGAGGGACCCTCCGGCTCCGATCCCGCGGCCCCGCCACGGTAGAGGATGTGGTGAGTGTTCCGGCCCAGCCCACGCCCTCCTTCCCTGTGCGTCTGCAGGTGGCCTCATCCTCTGTTCCCTGAGGGCCTCTGAGTGCTAGATCCTCACCTTCCTCTGCCACATCCCAGTTCTGGGACCTTTGTTGGGCAAGTGGGCCTGTTTCCTTGTTTGTAAAATGGGATAGTAAGACCCAGGGTTGTGGCAAGGATCGGCTGTGGCCTCATACGCGGAAAGTGGTGAAAAGATGGGGCAGCTCTCTGTTAAGTACAATTGTAAATACAGTCACACCGTTGTGATGTCGCTGTCCCTCCTTCTGCCCACCCCTCCAGCCCTCAGCCTTTGAAGAGAAGGCCATCGAGAAGGTTGATGACCTGCTGGAGAGCTACATGGGCATCAGGGACACAGAGTTGGGTGAGTGGGGGCACCCGGATCTGGGGATGGGTGCGAGTCTGGGGGAGGGGCCTCGAGGTCCTATGGGGCCAGCATTATCCCGGGTACCTGTGCTATCTGTGCTTCCTTCTGTCCCCCGCACCCTCCCCCCCGTGTCCAGCGGCCACCATGGTGGAGCTCGGAAAGGACAAAAGGAACCCAGATGAGCTGGCCGAGGCCCTGGATGAACGGCTTGGTGACTTTGCCTTCCCTGATGAGTTTGTCTTTGACGTCTGGGGTGCCATTGGGGACGCCAAGGTCGGCCGCTTCTAGGCCTCCCTCCAGACCTCTCAGTGACCTGGCTCTGCTTGGTGGGAGCCCCCTGCAGGGGCGGGGGGACACCATGGCCCGGACGCCAGCATCCGGCTTGGACCTTGTGCAGCAGCCCAAGGATGAGGGAGAGCGGAAGTGGGGCCAGGCCCCTGCCCCGCTCCAATCGGTACCACCCCTCCCAGCTCCTGCCCTGGGCGGGGTCCCTGGTCCCCCCTCCTTGCCCTGTTCCCCACCTACCTCAGCCGGGTCGGGCGCGGGGAGGGACCGGCCAGATCGGGCGGCTACCCCCGCCCGCAACACTTTCCGCATCAGCTGCCAAACTGGTCCCTCTGTCTCCCTGGGGCCTGTTTTGGGGGTCGTGACCTCCCGAGTTTCCTGTTGCAGGGAATGCAGAAGGGGGGCATCCCCCCTCCACAAATGCAATAATGCCCTCCCCCTCCGCGCCCCACCCAGAGGACCCCCCCCCGTCACTGTGGAGTCTGTTACCTCTGCATTTGAAATACTAGTCTGCTGTGAACCCCCCAACCTCCCTCCCACCCTCCCCTGCCCCCTGCGTCTCCCTCAGCCCAGCCCCGGACAGAAGGGGCATGGGGGAGGATGGCAGCGGGCTTTTGTATCTGAACTTGCTGTCTTGAACATAAAGAATCTATCTGCTGTTGGACCTGTGTGGCGGCTTCGGGGTGGGAGAAGGGGCTGAGCCAAGGCTGGGAAAGAATGTAGCAGCTGAAATCCATCCTCTTCAAGCTCCAAATTGAATTAGGAGCCTGCCTGGGCCCCCACCCCCACCCCCCCCAACCCGTTCTGCCTGACGAGGTTGCTGGCTGCGGGCCACCAGGCTTCCTGTCAAAGGCCGGAGCTTCTCGGCCTCCTGAGGTTCAAATCTTGCTCCCCCTCGAACACCGCTCCCGCCACCTCAAGTCTGCTGTGAACAGTGGGCCCACGACCGTCGGCTACAGCCCGTTACAACCCAGGGCCGTGGGGAGCACCGGGCCCCGAGGGGTGTGGAAGCCTGGCTTGGGAAAAGAAAGATGGTGGGCCCAGGATGGAGGCCTGCCAGGGCGAAGAGGAGCCCTGCCCCCAGGACTGAGGGGAGCAGCCACGCGGCGGCCCCCGCTCCTGTGTGCTCTGGATGTGTGGGGTCCGCTGGCATCCGTGGCGCCCCGTGTCTTTCACTGGACATATAAACCCAGCGTGCTTGTTTTGACAACCCACTTCATCCTCAAGGATTTGAGTGGGGATCAGGGAAGGGGGGGGTGGGACCCCGGCCAGACCTGGAGGGAAGGGCAGGAATTGAAGCAAGGGGAGCGAGGCCAGAGGTCCCGGCAGGAATGTCTGAGCTCAGCCCACCCCTCTTCTCCATCCCCATTTTCAGCAAGAGGGTGACTGGCCTTCCCCGGGCGGGAGAGGGCAGCCGGGGGCCCTGGCTGGGCCTGGGGCGTGCGTGCAGCCTGCACTTGTGTTCGTGGGGGGGGATGGAGGCGGCTGGCGTCCGGGTCCCAGCATCCCGGGGCACCCACGGGTGCGTCGTGCGTCTGTGCTGGTAAACGACTCAGGTGGGGAAGGGTGCGCCTTGGCGTTCAGAGAGTACGACTCTGCCTCTCGCAGTGTTGGCGCCGGGCGGCTCCATTGAGGGAAGAGCGTGCCGGTCTTGGCGATCCAAGGTGCTTGTGGGCGCAACTGGCAGCATCCCTGTGGAGTGTGGCCAAGTGAGCGCATCCCGCGTCCGAGGCTGTGAGCTAGTGCATCTCTGCGCCTTTCTGTTTGCAGCGTCGATGTCAGCCGCCTGGGTCTCCAGATGTCCGGGAGGCGCCACTCGTTGCGTCTTGGGCTCCTGGCCTGTGTCTGTGGGGCCTGTCTGGGACGGTGAGGGGGTGTCTCGGGGTGACATGGAGCGTGTGTGGCTGTCTCAGAGGTCAGGGGCCGTGTGCGTCTCAGGGCTGAGACTGGGTCTCCCAGCGCTAAGGGCCGCGATGGTGATCTCGGGGGCCTGCGTTCCAGCGTGTCGCGAGAAGTTTGAGCCAGTAACTACCAGGGCATCTGCAGGAATGACCTCATGGGTAGGATGACGGCTGACCCCAAGGCCTTGAGGAACATGGCTGCTATTGTGCTGGGGACAGACTGACAGCATCTGATCTCAGGGTGTTAAGGGATAGGACTGTGGGGGGTCCCTCCTCCTTCTCAGGGCAGGAGGTGAGGCCGCCGGTTGTGTGTCCACAGGTGGCTTGGGACTTGTGTGTCTCAGGAGAGAGTCCCCTGGTCATCAGGCGTCTTGGTCCACCCTCCCAGCCCCCCACCCGCCTTCAGTCTCCCCCCCCTCCTCCTCCCAGGGTATGACTCCCTGCTGGCCCTGGTCTGGGCTTTAAGCCCCTATGTAAATAGTGGGCGGGTCTCCAGGCCAGGCTGGGCCTGACCCAAGCTGGTCTGCCCGAGGCACTGCCCACCACCACCACCCCCGCCACCCACCAAGCATCCGTCATGGCTTTGGCAGGGCAGGAGGGGGCTGCGCTCTCCAAGCAGGGCTAGCCCCCCAACCTGGCCGTCTTCACGGAGGCGGTGGCACCCCCTGCGGCCGCCCCAGCCCGCCCTGGGCGATGCTCACATTTTCCAGTGTTTAGATTTTATCCACTTTATTAATGAGGCAGGCAAAAGGCCTGCGCCTGGGGGGGAAGGGGGGAGGAGGGCGGTGAGGGCTATTCTGGCCCCGCCAGGGGGAGGGAGCCGGGGGGGGGGGGGACCAGGCCAGCTCCCCCGCAGCCCCCTTCGTGGTGAGGCAGCTGGGCTTCCGAATGGCCCCTGCCCCTTGCCAGGAGCACAGAGAGAGGTCTCCATCCCCCCAGGCTCCCTGCGGTTGGGCCTGAGATGGGATGGCCGCGGAGGTGGGGAGAGGGGATGGCCGAGCGGCCCCTTGAGGCCGGAGCGGGCAGCGGGAGGAGGCTAGGAGCTGAGGAGCCGCCCTAGCAGGGAGGGAGAGGGAGCGGCCTGCCTTCCTGCCCGCCTGCCGGAGAGCTGGTGCGCTGGGCGCGGGTGCAGCTGGACAGCAGGGGCCAAGCAGTGGGCGATGGGGACCTGGAGCCCCCGACCTGCGTGGGTAAGAAGGTGGGAGCAAGAAGGCCCCTGGAGGGGGAGGAGGGCTTGGACGGAGGGGCCCGTGGCTACCTCAGCCTCTCTGTCCTGGGTTCTGTTCTCTCCGCCCCATAGGTCTGTCCCTGTCCGTCTTCCCGTCTGTCCATTGGCCCTTCCCACCTGGCCAGCGGCAGTGCTGCCCCCTCAGCCCTCACCACCGGGGCATCCAGAGATGGGTGGTGTTGGGGTCGCCTGGGGGCCTTGGGCAGGGACAGGGAGCTGGCAGAAATGGCACTACCTGGCATCCAGGCAGCCGCGGTCGGCAGTAGAGCCTGGGTGACACAGGAACAGACCCCAGACAGTGGAATGTGGGGGACAGGGACTGTAGGGACAGGGATGTGGCATTGGGGAAAAGGACAGCGTGCTGGGGAGAGATGTGCCCGTGGCTGCAGAGCTGGGGCTGTGAGCATCAAACACGGGACTGGACAGAAGGTGACATGGTGATGGCTAGAGATGGGGCACTGAAGCCAGGTGGGGCCCTGGGATCCGAAACGGGTCCGTGGGCATCAGATGGAACCAGAGGTCGGGAACTGGCCTTGGTGTAAAAATGGAGGTGGGTGTTAGACGCCTGGAGGTGGGGCACAGACCAGCAGGCTGGAGCGGGAGGAATCATGGTGGAAGGCGATGAGGGCAGAATGAGGGGGAGAGCAAGAGATGGGCTGATGGGGCATAGGAGGAGAAGGGGTCGAGAGTGGGGTAGTCACGGTGGTCGGGCGTTGCCTCGGGGAGAGTCGACAGGAGAATGCCCATGGCATCAAATGGGCCCCTACGGTCCGAGCGCTAGGCCCCGCTTGACGACGGGCACTGTGCTCCTGGCCAGGCTCACCGTGTCCTCTCCTCTCCCCAGCCCCAACCCCAGCACCTGACATGAGTCTCTGCGGGCCCCTCAACCTGAGCCTGCTGGGCGAGGCGACCATGTGTGCGGAGCCCGGGGCCCCCAACGCGTCGGCCGGGCCGCCGTCCGGCCGGGCGGGCGCCTCGCCGGCGCTGCCCATCTTCTCCATGACGCTGGGTGCCGTGTCCAACGTGCTGGCGCTGGCGCTGCTGGCGCAGGCCGCGGGCCGCCTGCGGCGCCGCCGCTCGGCCGCCATCTTCCTGCTGTTCGTCGCCAGCCTTCTGGCCACCGACCTGGCGGGCCACGTCATCCCCGGAGCGCTGGTGCTGCGCCTGTACGCGGCGGGCCGCTCGCCGGCCGGCGGCGCCTGCCACTTCCTGGGCGGCTGCATGGTCTTCTTCGGCCTGTGCCCGCTGCTGCTGGGCTGCGGCATGGCCGTGGAGCGCTGCGTGGGCGTCACGCGGCCGCTGCTGCACGCGGCGCGCGTCTCCGCGGCCCGCGCGCGCCTGGCGCTGGCCGCGCTGGCCGCCGTGGCGTTGGCCGTGGCGCTGCTGCCGCTGGCGCGCGTGGGCCGCTACGAGCTGCAGTACCCGGGCACGTGGTGCTTCATCGGCCTGGGCCCGGCGGGCGGCTGGCGCCAGGCGCTGCTCCCCGGCCTCTTCGCCGGCCTCGGCCTGGCCGCTCTGCTCGCCGCGCTCGTGTGCAACACGCTCAGCGGCCTGGCCTTGCTGCGCGCCCGCTGGCGCCGCCGCTCTCGACGGCGTCCTCCGGCGAGTGGCGCCGACGGCCACCGCCGCTGGGGGGCGCGCGCCCCCCGTTCGGCTTCCGCCTCGTCCGCCTCGTCCGTCGCTTCGGTCGCCGGCGGCCGCCCGGGCCGTGGTTCGGCGCGCAGAGCCCGCGCTCACGATGTGGAGATGGTGGGCCAGCTCGTGGGCATCATGGTGGTGTCGTGCATCTGCTGGAGCCCGCTGCTGGTGAGGGGCGCAGACGCCCCGCCGGCCAGGCTCCTTCCTGCCCTCCCTCCCTGTCCCATCCAACCCCACCCCTCTCTCTCCCTTCTCCAACGGGGCCCCCGTCCCCTTGAGGCTCCACCGGTCATGCAGCCCGCCCTTTGGTGTCGCCCTCTAATCTCCCACCCCTCCACCCAGTCCCCTTATCTTTCTCCAACCCCGGGGTCTCTGTAGTCCGCCCTACCCACTCAAGCCTCCCCCATCCCCACCCCCAGTCCACCCCTCTAGGCCCGGACACTTCATTCGCCAGCCCTCTTGCGTCACCACCCCGCCCCGTTTCTCTTCCCTTTCGGTCCCCTGTCCTTCGGGGTACCTGGGACTGCTTTTTTGCTGGAGCCGCCACTCACTGAAGGCCCTTGCTTCCGCCACACCTTCTCCATCCTTCCGTGGCTCCTTCCCACGAAGACTCCCGTTTACCCTCCCCGTGAGCCTCTGCTCCTCTTCACAGCCCCCTTCCCTTCCAGCCACGCTTCATCCATCCCAGCCCCACCCTTGGCCAGTCCCCTTCTCTCACACCTGCCCCACTGCTCACACTGGCTTCTCCCGCAGGTGTTAGTGGTGCTGGCGGTCGGGGGCTGGGGCTCCAGCTCCCTGCAGCGACCGCTGTTTTTGGCTGTGCGCCTCGCTTCGTGGAACCAGATCCTGGACCCCTGGGTGTACATCCTGCTGCGCCAGGCCGTACTGCGCCAAGTGCTTCGCCTCCTGCCCCCGCGGGCCGGCGCCAAGGGCAGCCCTGCGGGGCTGGGCCTTACCCGGAGCGCCTGGGAGGCCAGCTCGCTGCGCAGCTCCAGGCACAGCAGCCTCAGCCACCTCTAGGCGCGCAAACAGCCCCAGCGGCTAAGTCAGACCATCCCGGGCCGGGCCCAGGTGGGTCCGAAGCGCGGAGCCCTCGGGGAATAAAGCCATGTTGCGGACTTGCGCAGGGGGTGTGTCCGATCGGGGCTGCAGCAACCCTGTGACCGCGCGGGGGTGACAGAGGCGCCGCACGAACCCTCGGGGGTGTGCAGTTCTGGGACTCGCCAGGCGGAGACGCCAGGCGCGGAGCTGGAGCCGTGGGAGCATGCGCAGAGCACCACGGCCGCAGCCCAAGCGCCCGGGCGGGTCTAGCTGAGCTGCTGATCCGCGGCCGGAGGCGCTTTTTGCTCCTGCCGCCGCCAGGACTGACCCCAGCAACAATTCTCTCTTTGTGGCCCTGGGCTCCCCCAACACATCCTCAAGGCCCTACCCACGAGCCACGCCCCATCAGGGCCTCCGAACTCCAATGTCATTGACCGCATCTCTGAGCCCTGTCTGTCCCATCTCTGCTGACCCACGATCCCCACCGTAACAACAGCCCAGAGTCCCCACCTTCCCTTAACCCTCATCAAACGAGCCCCATACAAACTCAGGGCATCTCCCCGTCACACCTTATGCCCCTGGCCCCCCATCGGATCTGATCGCCCACAACTCTCTCCACTTCCAAGCTCACGCTTCTTTCACCCCACCCCGCCCCCCACGCCAACATAACTTCACACATGAGGAGCCAGAGGATGCATGGATGGGGCAAACCCCAAAGGCCTTTTTAAAAACTACTAACAGCTTGGTCGGGGCAGGGGCAGGGGCAGGGGCAGGGGCGAGGGCTAGCAGCCCCCAGCCACGAAGTCGAAGTCCCGGAAGGCTGCCTGTTCAGTGGCCGAGAGGGGCCGTGCATCGCGGGGCGGGCTCAGCGTGGGGGCCTCCCCTGTGAACTCCTCATCGAAGTTGCTGACGTCGGTCCGGCCTGACAGCGTGGGCACGAAGGGAGGTGGCAAGCGCCGGGCCAGCAGAGTGTCCCAGCCCAGTGTCTGTGGAGGGGGGGAGGGGAGACAGAAGTCAGCAGGAGAGGCTGGGGAGGAGACAGTCCGATCGGCCAGCCCTGCATCTGTGGGGCTTAACATAAGGGGTCAGAAGATAGAGGAATAAAGTGTGACCCTTACTGGGTTCCCAGTAGGGGTCACAGAGTGAGTATGGGGAGCCCAGGGTGGGGGAGAAGAAGCCTGGGTTCACACACAGGGCAATGATCCACGCCAGGCCAGCCAGGAGCAGATGTGCATGTTGCGGGGGGGGGGGGGGGGGGCAGAAGGAAACGGAGGTGACAATGAATGTTGGAAGGGAAGTGACTGGGTCTTGGTGGGGGAGAAATGAATAGGCCCTGGTGGAGGGGGATGACCAGGTCTCTGGTGGGGGGGGGGGGGTTGGCCAGGCACTTGGGGAGAACCTCACCCTAAAGAAGGGCTGCTTTTTCACATCCTCTGCATCCCTCTCGCTGGACCCCAACCTCCGCTCCGGATTCCTCCGCAGCAGCTGGACAGAGAGAGGTGTCAGTCTTCCCGCTCTGGGCCCCAGAGCCCCTCCCCAGGCCCAAGTCAGGGGCTCCTCACCCTGCGCATGATGCCAATGGCTTCAGCTGACAGGAAGCGGGGGTAGCGAACCTCATCATTGACTATGCTGTCAAACACCTCCTCCTCGTCGTCCCCTGGGAATGGGGACTGGGGACAAGGCAAGCCAGGGTGAATTAGGCCCCTCCTTTGGCCACTCTCCTCCCAGCCCCACCTGAGCCCTCTACTCCCAGTACTTCTGGGTGCTGGCTGATGTGGGCAGGTAAGTACCCCCAGTTTACAGATGCAGACTTGAGGCTAGGGAGGCCAGCCGCCCCTATCACGCAGCACACGGACACACAGTATGATCCCCTCCCCCATCCCTGCCAGGCTTAAGCAGTTTCCGGTGTGACCCCAGGGTCAGGCAGGGTGGGAGCAGCCTGGGGCCTCACCTCTCCAACCAGCATCTCGTAGAGCAGCACGCCCAGCCCCCACCAGTCCACGGCCCTCGTGTAAGATGTGTCTGTCAGCACCTCAGGGGCCAGGAACTCCGGGGTCCCACAGAATGTGCTGGTCCGGTCCCCATAGCCCATCCCTGAGGGCAGCAGGGCCAGGTGAGGTTTTGGGCCGGGGGGGGGTCCCAGCTATGGGTGGGGGTCCCAGCGGTAGCCCAGCCCAGCATGGGGTGGCCTCGACAGTCAGCCCCATCCCAGCGTTAGGGTTGGGGGTGACCCAGGTAGGGTTGGGGACTCCATTCCCTCCCCACTCTGTCTAGTCCCTCAGAGGCGAGCCCTTCAACTCCCAGCCCCGCCCCTCACCCTCCTTGCAGAGGCCAAAATCTGCGATCTTGACATAGCCCTCGGTGTCCAGGAGCAAATTGTCCAACTTCAGGTCCCTGTGATGGGTTAGGGGGATGTAAAGAGGGATGAGTGGGGGGCTGGGCCCTGCCTGAAGCCTGAGGGCCCCCGGTGGGCGGACCGCGTGTACAGGAGCACAGGCACACATGGGCACACACAGGCACACGCACCTGTACACGATCTTGTGTTCGTGGAGGAATTGCAGCCCCAGCACCACGCAGGCTGAATAAAAGCTGCGGGGAGAAGCTCATGTGACCGAGCCAGGCCTCCCAGCAAGGAAGGCAAGCCACGAACACCTTGCTTTCGTAACTCCCCCAGTCCCCCAAAACTCCAGGAGGTTGGGGAAAGCAGGGGGGAGAGAGGGAGGAAGATGGCCGCCACAGGCTCTCTGGGGTTGGGGCAGGTGGGGGTGGGGGGGCTCACACAGCGCGGGGCTCGGAGAACACGTCGCTGTGGATGTGCAGCATCAGGTCCCCGCCCGCCGAGTACTCCATCACGAAGCACACGTGCTCCGGCGTCTGGAAACAGCCAAACAGGTTCACCAGGAAGGGGTGTCCTGCTCTGGTCACCGCTGCCAGGATCCGCTTCTCACACATCAGGCTGGGCAGGGTTGCGGGCAGGGGTCAGAGACCACAGTGGGTCTCCCACCCCCGACTCCCACACTCCCAGGAGTCCTCCCTCAGTCATCGGCTATTGGCTGAGGGCCTCGAATGGCTGTGCAGCCTTAGGCAGGTTGCTTAATTTTCTGAGCCTCAGCAGCTTTGTCTGCTAAAGAGGCGCCCAGAATCCATGTGTCATCCTAGTAACAGCACCCCCCCCCAGCATCCCTTTAGGGAACAGCCAGGGTGGGCTAATAGGAGCACCCCATTTCCCCGGCCAGGAATTGGGTCGGGAATGGTCAAGCCAAGCTTGTAGGGCTCAACCTCAGGATTTCCGCTGGAATTATTAAGGAAGAAGGGCTAAAACTAGTGGATGAGCCTTAAATTGCTGTGGTAGGGGGCTATCTCTGCCTGTGATGAAATGACTGCAAGCAAAGCCCACAAAGAGGAAAGAAGACTGCGAGATGTCATCTGAGCAACTGGATGCAGCCATGCCTGAAGGCAGTGCATCCCTAGACTTTTCTGATCCAGAGCAATAAATTCCTCTTTTGCTTAAGGCTGGCTGAGTTGGGTTCCTGATTAATAAGATGTCAGGAAGATTAGGGACAATCAGTGTCTCTATTGGGCATATTTACGGGGGGTGGGGACAGATACTGTGTAGAATGTTCTAGATGCATCCCCTCACTTAATCTACCTGACAGCCCCGCAAGGAAGGAATCATTGCTCCCCTTTTCTACATGGGGAGGCTAAGTTCAGAAGTGCAAAGGATCTCTTAGACCCTTCCCCAGGGTCTCTAAGCAAATTGGTGGCAGAGGTGGGATTTGAACCCAGGGCCATAACCCCAAAGCAGGGACAGTGCAATGGTGCCATTAAGAGTACAGCCTTCAGGGGGCTCCTGGGTGGCTCAGTCGGTTAAGCATCCAACTTCGGCTCAGGTCATGACCTCAGGGTTCCTGGGTTCGAGCCCTGGATAGGGCTCTGTGCTGACAGCCAGCTCAGAGCCTGGAGCCTGTTTCAGATTCTGTGTCTCCCTCTCTCTGACACCCCCTGCTCACGCGTCTCTCTTTCTCAGAAATAAATAAAACATTTAAAAAAAAAAAAGTGTAGCCTTCAGGGGGCGCTTGGGTGACTCAGTTAAGTGTCCAACTCTTAATTTCGGCTCAGGCCATGATCTTATGGTCGTGAGATCTAGCCCTGTGTTGGGCTTCATGCTGAGTGTGGAGCCTGCTTGGGATTCCCCTTCTTTCTCTCTCTCTCTCAAAATAAAAAAAAATTAAAAAATTTTAAAAAAAAAGGAGTACAGGCTTCAGAGCCTGAGTCCCTAGGTTTGAATCCCTGACCTGCTGCTTACTGGCTTTGTGACCTTGGGCAACTCACTCGACCTCTCTGTGTCATCAGCAGAATGAGGACAATAATATTTACTGCATACGACAAAAGAGTTACTGGACATAAAGCGCATAATGGGTGCTTTCTAAGAGCTGTTACCATCTTATGTGCTGGCTTAATAATAAATGACAGGGACTATTATGAATCACTGTCACGGCAGCTCCAGAGAGGGGACTGCTCTGTCTCCCACTTTCCAGAAGACAAGACCAAGGTTCTCAGAGGACCCGGGCTGGCTCCCCACCTCTCCACCTCATCTCGGGCCACGATGTCGCCCTTCTTCAAAGCCTTGATGGCGAAAAGCTCCCCGCTGGGCCGGAACTCAGAGAGCAGCACCTGTGGGACCACAGTGGGCAGTGATGGCCTTCACGGCCAGCCCGCGAACCCCCGGGGCCCCCAACCTCTTGCCTCCCTGCCTCACCTTCCCAAAGTGACCCCGGCCCAGCACCGCCAGGAATTTGAAATCCTCGAGGGTCAGGGGTGACTTCCTCAGAGGGCTGTGGAGAGAGGACAGTGGTGGGGACCTGATGGAAGGCAGGGGTGGCGGGAGGGGACTGGGGGAGGGGTGTCACCTGCACAGGGCGGGGCCTGGGGTCTCCTGGGTCTCTGAAGGCAGCTCGGGAGCGGTGGTGGTTTCCTGGGTCAGGGAGCTCTGCAGTAGAGAGAGGAGGCCAGAGCCCCGCCACCTCAAGGCTCCCCTCACCTCTCTGAGGTCACCCCTCCTCCAGCCC